GGAAAGATGTGCCCACATTTCCTTCACAGCCAATTGTGGTGTCCTGTCATCCTCTCTATTTCCACTTAAATTCTTTTCCCGGCTCCTTTCCAGCACCTCTTGTAAATAAACAGCAGGATCCAGAGTGTCTTGATGGTGGCTAAAAACGAATTGGTTGGTGGATCTGAGTCCATGCTTACAGGGCTGCAACAAAGAAAACAGTTTACTATAATATCTTTCAGACAGACTCTACAGGATACAGTTTATCATTTATTTAGCTGCAGTGAATTTTGTTAAACTTATATTTCTGGTGCTAGAGAGAGGCAGAAGAAGTTTTAGCAAGTTATCGTAAACTTTGAATTCAGAAAGGACAAAGATGACCTTCATTTTGCCTTTTTGTCCCTTTTACTTTTCTGAATTTCTGAATCTTTGTGTGTGAGGTCTTCACCGGTATCTAGTGTCAGCACAGGACATTGGGTTGGGTGCCGTGGAAAGGGAATTGAAGGTAATCTCTTATCGAGGGTTGACTAGACAGAATGCGTAAGAAAGAAAGGCTTGGGGCACCTGGATGGCTTAGTCAGTAAGCGTCTGCCTTTGGCTCGGGTCGTGATCCCGAGGTCATGATCCCGAGGATCCCTAGGATCGAGCCCCACATCGGACTTCCTGCTCAGCAGGGAGTCTGCTTCGCCCTCTGTCCTTCCCCCTGCTTGTTCTCTCTCTCAAATAAATAAAATCTTAAAAAAAAAAAAAAAAAAGAAAGGCTTGGTAGGAGCCCACTGCCCTCAGCCCTGCTGTCTTATAGCCTGAAAGCCTGCTGCTTAGAGCAGAGGCGAGCAGAGCCCATGCCGCTTGGACAGGCTTAGGCTTAGTCTTTACATCGAACTTACAGTAGTTAGGTTGGTCGAGGACTGCAACATTCAGGAAGAGGTGGTTGAAATGCCATTGTTATGTTGGAAACCTGTAGGCAACAACGTGCTGGACATGTCTGAGTATAACATTGTGGGTGTAACTGCCAATGGGCAAGTGAATGGTGCATTTCTTCGGACTTTGCCTTGCAACAGGTGGATAAAGAGTCTCCTAAATGAAATACTATGGTCTTCGGTGGCACAGCTCACCACACTGTAGACCCAAGACCAAAAAATCCGTGGCTAGGGGGACGGGGTGGTCTGTCAAAGCCAACTCTCTGGTAGTACTTTGCCCTTATGGCTTAGGATCCAGAAGATAGAGAAATCTGTGGTTGTGTTGATGTGGTGCCTGAAAGTGCACCAGTTCCTGCTGGGAATTCTGACCTCCCCCTTTCCACAGCTGCCGAAGGCCTGTGGGAGGCTGGTGCTGATGGACTGCGTCCTCGCTGGCCGCTCTCGGCACCACGGCGGCGCTCTCGGAAGTGCTCTGTCCCAGCAAAGGGCCAGCTACCCTTGCCCAGAAGCCGAGGCTTTCCTGCCTGCCTGATTGATGAACCTTCGCGGCAGAGACAGGGCCAAGGTCACGGTAAATGTGCTCTGCAGAAAGCTGTGGTGGCGTGATGCCAGGATTGTGCCACGGAAGCCCCGTGTGAAGGGGGTGGTGAGTGTGAGCGCTCGAAAGCCCGCAGGGACCCCACCTGCCAGGTTCCAGGAAGAAAGGGCTCCCGGTCATGATGAGCCTCTGCGTGTTTTGGCTGCTGCTGTAAATGTGTCATTCACTTTGATTTAGCCTCAAATACAAGACAGGTAATTTTGCTTTTGAGACTGTCAGATTAGGAAATCATAAACCACGTTCATGATCCAATGAAGGCAGACCTGGAAGCTTTTCCTTAAAGCATCTGAGCACTGGTGACAACTTGCTGCTCGTTAGCAGTGGACAAGGCGAAGGGCGACTATGGCTTTTCACCGTTCTGGAACTCTCTTCACTGCTGTGCAGCAAAAGATCATCTTCTTAGGCTTCTCAAAGTGATTTGTCAAAAAGATGGTATAATTTGGGAATACCGTCAGAGCTAGAGGCTGAGAGTGAGAGATGGTGTATAGAGCCTAGGGGGCTGCCCAGGTAAAAGCAGAAATTCTATAAAGAGCTGATTGGTGAATGAATGCAAATGGAAATTACACCCCTTAGGATCCCCCAATTTAAAAGCGTTCTGAACACCCTTCATTTAAACTACAGAGATCTGATTCTCTCCACTTGTTTCTGTGATCCAGGTGACCTCTATTGAGTTCCTACTGTTTGTAGAACTCAGTCCATGTGATGTAGAGAGATTTGGGGATCCAGAGCTTAAGTACCCTCAGAGAGATAGAACGTGCACAGGAAAATAGTGTTGTTCCTAAGCATCTTCGTTAGATTCCCTTCAAAGCAGAACCTTGGATAAGTCTGTTAGCATAGGGCAGTCATTGGGAAGCTGTCCTCGGGAAGTAGGAGTGAGGAGGTAGAGGGAATGAGATGGGGAAGGAGGGAAAGCCAGTACAAGAGTGTGTTTCCAGGACTGCCAAGGGCTCCTTGTCACCAGAACTTCTGAGAAGCGTTCAGAGGACCTCCTAGAATTGCCTGTGTGAGGACAGGAGGCTGGGCCATGTGGCCACAGCCCCTGTCCTCCATGACGGTGGCCCCAATGGCATGAACTCCCATCATATGGCCAGGCAGTGCTTCTGACATGTAGGCAGGGTCGGAGGAGCCCCTGCAGGCAGCAGAGGAAAGCCTCGAGGTGTGTGCTTTTGGTGGATGTTGTCAGCACTGACTCTGAGCTTGCTCAGAATTGACCAGTATGGCGGCAGCTGGAATCAAGAGTCCTCGAGCGTCTGCTATGGGAAGGATCGGTGCCGTAATGGGAGAAGGACTGGGTGCACTAGAAACACCACCAGGAGGCATCTCATCCAGAGATTGGGGCAGGATCTCTAAGCTGAGACAAGACCAGATGAATGGGAGATGAACTGTAGGTTCAGGACTGTATGGTTGGAGCTTAGATGGTGAGGGTAGATGTGGTGAGGGGAGAGCAGGAAGACCTTTCAAGGTAAGGAGCATGTCTTCACTGTAAGAGCAATAAGGGGTCGGGGAAGAGACATTGAAGCAGAAAGACATGATGAGCTTTCTGTTCTAGAAAATTCACCCTAACAACAGCATATTGAATAGATGCCAGGGTGGGGCAGGTGAGTAAAAGTGGGACAGAACAGAAGTCAGGGAGACCAGTGAAGAGACTGCAGTTCTCCGGGTTTGAGGATATAATGGTGAGAACTGGGGACACATAAGTCTCTGTATCCTCACTCATGCTCTGCTCCTGGTAAATACAGCCTGAATGTGTGTGTGCATGTGTGTGTGCGTGTGTGCATGTTTTGATGAGAGATTGTTGTAGGAAGTGAGTTATCTAGAAAAGAATTTTTAGAAGATGGGAATTGAAAGCTCATAGCTGTGTGGAAAATTCATAAGTAAACTGGAAGGTAAAATAGCTGTGAGAAAATATCTCAAGTAAGTTCTCAGCTTAGTCGTGAGACAGCCCAGGGCACCACGCTGGAAGTCAGAAAGACCTTGCTTTGGCCTGGTCCTGCGTTTTCTATTGGCTTGACCTTTGTTGTGTCATTTAACCTCTCTGAATTCTGTTTATTTGTCCAACTCAAAATGAGGATGATGATGCCTGCCCAGCCTATTCTGAATCAATGTTAAGCTAACAGCATGTGGTGGGAAATGACCACAGCAGTGAAGCTAACATCCTTCCGACCAACATGAATAGGACGAGGGTGTGGAGGGTCATGGTTCAGCCCGAGAGTCTTGTGTTCAGTGTGGACACTGGCCTGTCTGCTCACTCTGGGGCAGGAACGGGGCATCCTTCACTGGCCCTGTGCTGCAGGGAGGTGGGTTTCAGAAGGGTTAGTGTGACACTAGATCCTCTCGAAGGCTCTTCCCCCTATTCGGAGACTCAGTGGTCCTCCTTCACAGGCCATTGTGAGCGGAAGATGAGAAAATAGTGAATAAAGCACCTGGAGAATGAGCATTGTAGGCAAGTGAAAGGTATTACTGTTGATGTTATCAGGAGGCCTTGTGATGTTAGCTCACAGAAATTGTACACGTTTGAGTCTCTTATATTTCCAAGGAAGACAGGAAGTAACTTCCAGTTTCCTGCATGGTGGTACACGACGTATTTTAGTTTCATAAAGAGATCAAGGGCCATGTCCCTTCCATAGTTCTTTCCCCTAATACCACCTTCTTACTAACTAGCTGCGTTCTGTTTTCCTTATTTTTTGTCCTGCGTTTAACAATGAGTGGAAACATGTGACCTGCTAAAAGACTTGACCTTGGGCATGTGGGGTTTCTCCCACAGTCCATGGTCGTGTCACCAGCAAGGAGAACACAGGCTGTATATTCCCTCCTTTCAGGGTGAGGAATGTTCTCTACCTCCTGGGAAAATCCAGGGTCCTGACTCACAGGAGTCGAAAAGGAAACTGATCTTAAGAGTCCTTTTAAGATACTGTAACTTCTTGCTCATCAGTGTTGGGATCTGTTTCTCTTTCTCTTACAAGCATTCCCTGGGGTTTGAGGGCACAAATGATGGCTGACTCAGCATGGCTGACATTTATTACACCTTTGCTCTGTGCCAGGTGCTATCGTAAAGCACTTGACATAGAAGATACACTGCAGCCCTCTGAGTCACTATTCACTTGGTAGATGATAGGAAGCCAGGGCAGATGTGGTTAAGTAGCCTAAAGTCACACAGAGCTGGAATATGAACGCAGGCATGTGATTCCAAAGCCGTGTCTGAATCATGCTGCGCTTCTCCCTGCCTGCAAGCAGAGACCTGTCCTACAGAGCATACAGAGGGCTTTAGGATTTCCTTTTCCTAGGTCCTTAGAGCGGTCAGAGATGTTAGGCAGGAAAAGTGCATTTGAATTCTGGTCTACTTAAAGTGTTCTCCAGAGCAGACAGGAAGTACCCTAAATACAAAAATGGTTTCCTAAATTAAGATAAATAGCCCGAATCTAGGGAGCCCCATGCCAGTCAGAAAAAACATGAATCAAGAGTTTTTCCATGCTACATGTTTCATTTTTTTTCACTTTCTCTAGGTTAAAAAGATCAAGTGGCATGAGCAGCCTTTTGGGGAAAATTGGAGCCAAGAAGCAGAAGATGAGCACCCTAGAGAAGTCCAAATTGGACTGGGAGAGCTTCAAGGAGGAAGAGGGCATTGGTGAAGAACTAGCCATCCATAATCGAGGGAAGGAGGGGTAAGAACTAGTAGATTCTGTTCCTCTGAAAATTCTAAAAAATCTGAAATAGTTTATTGTGGACAGGCCACCCAGTTTAAATAAGCAGGCACTTTTCCTGGTGAAGCAAATTTCGTCCGTTTGTTGGTGAAGCTCTGTTCTAATGTGGAGCCGGTCCCCTGGGTGAGAAGAACACTGGGGGTGGTGGGGGTGGGCGGGGCGGGGCCAGCCCTGTCTGCCAAGCCGAGCTCCCCGAATGACAACAGACAGCTCCCGGGAACTGTAAGTCACCTCGTTTCGTCACGTGGTCAGATCTGGCTCGCTGTATCCGCCTTGTCGTGTTCGGAATGATTTGGTCTTCTGAGAAGCCAGACCAGCCCAGTGCTTCCAGAGCAGAGCCAATAGAGTGCATAGATGTTGTCGCCTCATTGCGGATTCTTTTTGTCCGTGTCACTGTGGCCCAGGCTGGGGCTTCAACCTACATGACATGCCAGCCCTCTCACGGCACCCTGGCTATCACTTGCACCCCTCCTCTTCACCTTGGAGTACGAAGAGGATGTCCATAGGCTCTGTAGTCAAGAATATCAAGAAAGGCAGTGTTTGGTGAGTACTTAGGAACCTCAGAAAGAGCTAAGAAGCAAAGTTGCTGCAGAACAGGGTCCATGGCTCAAGGTCATCACTCCCCCCGCCCCTAACGGTGAAAAGAAGTGCCGTGGGGCTGTCAGACAGTCTGGGTCCTCCCCGCCCTGCCCTTCACCAGGAAGGGCTCTCCCTGCAACACACAGGGCATTTCTGAAACTCAGCCCCTTTGCCTGTGCATTGGGGTAATGATACCACGCTGGGGGTGAATGCGAGGATCTCATGAGATAATGCATGTAACACATGTATGACACATACACATAATGCACATGAAGTACATAAAGCGCTTTGCAGGCACCTGTCACATAGACATGTGCATCAAGTGGTAGTCATTCGGCTTCTAAGCTAAATTATAATACAGACAGGTGAGGGGGTGAATTTCTGGGTCACATTTCTAAATTTGGCTTCAAGATTATTTGAATTAACCTAGAAGCTGATCAGTATGTTTAAAAAATTGTTTGTTAAATGACTTTGTGAGCTTGGTTAGCCATCAGACCTGTAAGTCAGTCTTCTGTCAAAGATGGAATGCCGCAGGACTGAGGTGGGAGTGCCAGAGTCCTCTGAGGAAGGCCCAGGATAAAGCCCAGGCAGGAGCCGCTCTTATCTAGAGAAGGCCTTTGACGTTTGCCCCAGACCTCCCTGTCTTTGCCTCTGCTCTGGTTGCTCACAGCTCATTCCTCTTCTCCACGTTTGCCTGGTGATCCAGGACAGCAGGGGACCTGCCAGTGTGTGTGACACTTTATTGGTCCTCTGGGTATTGATTATGTGGGGCGGACACTGTTTCTTCTGCTCAAGTCAATATAGGTCTTATAAAAGTAGGGAGTGGTGCTGTTGAAGATAAGGCAGAGCTAATAAAATGTAGACTGGAAGAGAAAACAGGATTAAAAGGCCATCTGCCCAATGAGGACTTCTCAGGCAATGGAAAATCGCGTAACTGGGTTCGGGAACCACTAACAGGCGTGCAGCTTTTAAGCGCCCTGCTTTCCCCGCTTCTCTGAGACTCTTCGCCCCCCACCCAACGATTCCACCAATCTGATTGTGTTTTTCCAGGGCAGATCTCATGACTTCTTTGCTCTGTCTCTGGCTCTTCTCACCTTCCCTCTCTAGTGCCTGTCCCCACACCTCCACTCACTTGCCTTTCCTAGCTCTTGCAGGCAGATTAATGGGGCCCAACCCCTAGTCCAGGGAACAGGCTGTAGCTCGGGTTCTTACCTTGGCTTAGCATGAGAATCGTCTTGTTGGGGTGGTTTCAGAGTTGGGATGACAAGGCCACTCCTATACAGGGCCGCTGAACCGAGAGTCGCAGAGACTTGTATCTTTAACTCACTGCTCAGGTGCTTCTGATGCACAGCCAGGGTTGGAAATCACTAGACCGTAGCATCAAAGTTCTAGAGATGAGAGCAAGACAGCCAGCTGCTAGCTGAGCCTTTCCAACACATACGTAATTGGAGAGCCAAGTTCAAAACCAGGAATGTCGAGAGGCGCAAGAAGATTTCTCCAGAGAAGTGTGCCCAGTGCCACAGTGTTGACGGAAGCACAAGAACCAAACCTGTAAGGTCTGTTTGGGCAGAGGCAGGTCAGGCCCCAAATTCTCTTACACAGACGCCAGCAACAACAAAGGCATCACCAGGAGGGGCTACTCTGAGGGACTGTGTGGAGAATCCCAAGAGGCATCCCCCTGGAATAAAAGTGATCTTCGCTGAAACCAAGAAGGGGGGAAAGTCATATTTGATAACATCTCAGAAGAGCTCCCTGTGAGTATTGATTGACCTCTGCCATATATATATTTATAAGACCTTTTCACAAGTACCAAATTTAAATTGATCTCTTATACAAGAATTCAAGTCATAAATGATGGTAAAAATATTCCTGTTATACAGTCCTGATTAAAATAAGTTTGGATTGAGATTAAAAGCTTATGTCATGCTTTTTATGTTTTGATAGTAACTCCAGTTCAGTAAATGCTAACACATCTTTCCCCTTGTAAAGATTGGATAAAATTTGAAGCAGATTGGTCAATATTGGGTTATTTTTGTCCAGTTATTTTAAAGGCAAGTTTGCCATCTTAAAATATGCGCATAAGGAGACGAGGTACCTGGAGAAACTGCAGGCACAGGACCAGATCTCTTCTAAAATCTGTATCTGATACATCCGTTGTCTACATTCTTTGCAGAAAATTTACCAGAACTTTCATTGAATGTCAATAAACTAAACTCTCCAGTGAAGGGACAGAGATTGACACATTGAATTAGAAAACAAAAAACAACTATATACCGGTTAAAAGACACATGTCGAAACAGCGGGATGCAGAATTGGTGACAATAAAAAAGATGGGTGACAGGATAAGCCATGCAGCCACAAACAAGAAGAAAGCTGATAGTAGACAAAACAGACTTGGAGACAAAAGCATGACCAGAAACGAAGAGGCGGTTGCCTCATAATGATGGAAACACTCAGTGCATCTGAGAGATATGACAGCTCATGCTCGGATGTCCCCCTTGGCATTAACCACCAGACTGCACTCATTCCCTGCGACTCAGCAGTCCCACCCCAGCTGTGTTCCCAGCAGAAATTCCGTTGTGCGTTCCCCAAAGACAGGTGTGAGGATTTCAATGATAGTGTTTTCATAATATCCAAACTGGAAACAACTTAAGTATCTATCAATAATGCAACAGGCAAAGTGTGGAGATCGTATTAAATGGTTCATGGATCAGGCAGCATCCCGTCTACCAAGTAGAGGGAAGCTCCAGAGGGCTACAGAAAGGGAAAGGTTTTTATTTTTATTTTTATTTAAAGATTTTATTTATTTATTTGACAGAGACACAGCGAGAGAGGGAACACAAGCAGGGGGTGTGGGAGAGGGAGAAGCAGGCTTTCCGCTGAGCAGGGAGCCCGATGCGGGGCTTGATCCCAGGACCCTGGGATCATGACCTGAGCCGAAGGCAGATGCTTAACGACTGAGCCATCTAGGCGCCCCAGGGAAAGGTTTTTAAAGGCAGGACAAGGAAGTCATAAATAGAAAGATTATTTCAGGTGAGGTCACCTCCGTCTGGGGACAAAAGGGTTTTAGTAGGTGGATTACCTCATCTTCCTTTGGAGGATGAAGAAGGCCCATGTGACATATAACCTTACTGGTGCTGACCAGAGAATTCCTGACTGACCGGTTAAAGGTTACATTCCTAGAGGGTTGAAACTGCAGTGAGGTTGGGTATTAAGTCTGGGTTGACTGACTGGGGGCTTTAACCTAAGTGACATCATTTTGGGAATGAACATGGATAATTTCAATAACATAGTAATACCAAGAAGTTCACACAGTGTGATCGCATTTATATAAAGGTCAAAGACAGGCAAAAGCAGTGCATCCGTTGAGTTATTTTGTGAAAGAAGCAAGTCACAGAAGAATTCACAGTATAAGTCTATTTATGTCAAGTTCAAAATTAGGCACAACTAGACCATAATGTTGAGGGCATGCAAACTTCAAAGGCAGGCAAGTTCGCACCTGGCCAGGCTGGCGTTGGTGGGAGAGTTATGCAGGGGCCTCCTCCAGGCTGCCAGCCTTCCGCTTCTTCATCTGGCCATGGCCACGTGAGCACTTGCTTTACGATGGGGCGTTTGCCTTGCCCGTTTTATTCACTTTAAATCTTGTGTGTTACATTTTATGACAAAACTGAATTGAAACTGGGGCTCCCAGTGGTGCAGTTGGTTAGATGTCCTCCTCTTGATTTCGGCTCAGGTCATGATCTCAGGGTTGTGAGATCAAGCCCCGGGTCAGGCTCCACACTCAGTGGGGAGTCTGCTAGAGATTCTCTCTCCCTCTGCCCCTCCCCACCCCGACTCAGTTGTGTGCGAGCGCGCGCGAGCACACTCTCTCTCTCTTTCAAATTAATCTTTAAAAAAAAAACTGAATTGAAGTTGTATTTAAATCCTGGCTCTGCTACCAACCTGCCATGTGTTCTAGCCCATATCTTCATCTATAAAGTAGAAACTCTTCAGTATACTATACCTCTCTAGTTTATGAGAATTAGGTAGAGGAGATATCTGGTGTGTTTATAAATATAGTGAGTCCTCTGCTCACTCTTCTTTCTTCCATCTGCCATTACTGACCACACTGTCAGGGGCATTACTGCAAACGGAAAGCTGGGTGCCTTATTCCTTTAAATTCCCTCCTGGTGTCTTCCTGCCAACCCTTCAGGAATACTTTCCACAAAGGTGGCAGATACAGCTTGGGGGTATGTCCTCCCAGCCTCCCTGGCTAGTCCCTCTTCCTTCCCCCAGCTTTTAAACTTGGAAAGTCCCAGGACTGAGCTCTGGGCAGCTGTCTGTCCTCCCATTCCCTGCAGACCACCCCCCGCCCAGGAGAGCTCACTAGTTCCACAGCTTAGGTACCACATTCTGCTGATGACTCCCGGAAAAGCTCTCCCTTGCCCGACCATTCCGCTGAGCTTCAGACTCCCAAATCAGCTGTTGGGTTGACCCCTCCATTTGCATGTCCTAGACACACATCAAACTTAACATGCAAAACCAAATATTTGCCTTTCTTTCCATAAAGTCTTCTTCCTCAGACTTCTCAGAAAATGACACCATCACCATCCACCCAACTGTTAAAAGAAAAACCTAGGAGTCATCCTTGATTTCCTCTTTCAGTTCACATGCAAAAGTCCAGTAGACAGTTCTGTCATAAAATACTTCACTACATGCCCTCTGTCCAGCCCCACTGCCATCCCTCCAGTACAAGCCACAGACATCTGTCATACTCCCTGCTTTTGTCTGTCTGTCCCCTTCCCTCCATTCTCCCCTACAGTAGCTAAAAGGATTTTTTTAATATAAACTATTTTTCCTCTGTTCCCTTCTGGAACACCCCCCCCCCCCCAGGAGCACTTGCAGTCAGTGTTTGACTCCTTACTGGCATTCTAGGCCCTTCCTGAGCTGTCTCCTGCCCACCTCGTGCCCCCTTCTCCCCCGCTCATGATGGCCCAGCTTCTGTAGGGCTCCTCCAGGTCCTCCTCCATGATGGCTCGCTCTTGTCACTCAGCGTTTGACTCAGATGCCACTCTCTAGAGTAGCCCCACCTGAGGAACCGTCAGTCATAGCACTTTGTTGGAGTGAGTCATCGTGTTCTCTTTCATACACGGTGAGCCTCCAACAACAAGGGGCAGGTTCACCACCTGTCCCCAGCACCTAGAAGAGGACCCAGCCCAGAGCAGGTGCCGAGCCACCTCACTGTCCAAATGCCTGACCCCACTAGCCACCAGTCATGACTTTGTGTTGGAACCTAGTAGGACTAGAATCAGCCCCCCAGAAAAGAAGGGCATGACATCAGGTCCATCAGAATGATGTCTCTGCCCAGGCAGCAGAGTTGGTTAAAACGCCTGTCCCCAAGATGGTCAGTCATCTGCACAGCAAAGGGTCGCAACTCACTCTGAGCCCCGGGCTCCCGGGCTGGCCCAGCGTTTCGCACTGCTCCCTCCAGCCCCGTCCCCGAGCACACGGCTTCCCCAGCAGCGGGCACTGTCAGCTGAGGCGGAGGCCGGCAGGCCTGGAGAAGGGCTTGGGGCACCGTGCCTGAGCGGACTGCAGGCCCGGGCTTGGCTGCCGCTGGCAATCAAATCGAAGGTCAGGGAGTGCCATGATTGGAAACCAGGTGTGCTTGTGACGCAGAGAGGCATGTAGGAGAGCCCAGAGAAAATCAGTTTTTCTCCAAACAGTCTTCCTCCATGACCCCCAGGAGTCATGCTTTCAGCACCAGCACAACCTGGTGAGATGGGAGGAAAGCAGGGGAGAAGCTTCATTCAAGTCACCGTTCTTCTACTCTGGGCCTCAAGCGGTTTACAAGTCGCACACTCTTCCACGGGGTGAGGGGGATGCGGGCTTTTGCGACACTGGGCAGCTTGCTTCTCTCGGGCAGAAAAGGGCCTACCTTACTACATCCATCACAGGGCTTTATCTTGAGACAGCCTCCATGGCCCACTGCCTCCTGGTGCTGGGCACTGAGCTGACCCGCATTCCCAGTCATGTTTGTGCGGCACTGCGTGCTTGCTTGGGGGACCAGACGCTGGGAACAGAGTAATAACACAGCTGGAAATGCCCTCAGTCATGTACCGGCGTCACATGTCCCCGCACCTCCCTTTGCTCTTTCCCTGACCAGGGGGGAGGAGGCCTCTCGTGGGCCAATGACCAGGATGGGCCCACCCGTTGGGCCTTCCCACCCTCAAAGACCTCTGACTTTTTGGGTGGATGGCCATCCTTCATTTGCCTGTGGAGTAGGTACCAGCATATTCCCTAGAAGCATTTTCTACCCTTTTCCTCTGTTCTTCCATTTTTCCCTGCCTCCTTTTTGGCCTGGATCTCAAACAGTTGGTACCAGAAAAGTAATTTGGGTCGAAGGATCAAAAAGATGCCAGAACCTGTTGTATCTAACCTGGTTCTGAAAGGAAAAGCTAGAAAATCCCTTAGGTTTTGGTGCTATTAGCATGTTTTACTAATGAAAGTAAAGAGCCGCTTCCTCGAGGGTAAATGGGCCACATAGAGCAATAGTAGCAGGAAGGGATGATGCCCCCACCCACACATACCCCCAGCTTCCCAGGGGACTGCGCCCAATCAGGCTGGGTCCCCAGGAGTGCTGGGCACAGGCCAGAAAGGCACCATTGCACTTGTCAGCTGGTGGTTGTTTTCTGGGACTGTAACCCACTTAAGGTGCCTGAAAACTTGCTGAAGCTCGGTTTAAATAGGCCATCTACCTGGGCCACCTCGGAGGAGGCGGCCTTCCCCACAAACCCTTCCTCCTCCCGGAGCATTTGGTCTCTTGGTCCCTGTTGCAGCTGTCCCGGGGTCTGAGGTTCTGTAGTGAACAGTCAGGTCAGAAATGGGAAGCAAGAACCCCTCAGTGCTCAGCTGTTCTTTGTTTTATTGTTTACAGAGCACTTCTCACAGGCTCACCGCATTGTCAGAGGGCTACTGTAATTTTTATTCCTGTTTTAGAGAAGAAAACTAAGGCACGGAAATTATCTTGCCCAAAGTGAAACAAATAGTAAATATCAGAGCCCATCTCATCCTCGGCACCTTTCCTGTCTTTCGGGGAGGGGAGTGGTCCATGTCCAGTAGAAGTTTTGTTCCTGGCCAGCTCTTGGCTGGATCCTGTTAGCAGCTACACATGGCTGTGAATGGGGAAGTGAAGTCGCCAGGCCCGCCTTGACGGCCTTTGTCTGGGTCGCCCTTGAGAATTCAGTTGCATTCTGCACATATGCCCCTCTTGGCTGCCTGAATCCTCCCCTTAACCTGAGCTCTGCCTGCACCTGCCTGGGTAGCACCCAGCCTGGCTTCACTCTTGAGAGTCTCACCAGGTTGTGCTGGTGCTAAAAGCGTGACTCCTGGGGGTCATGGAGGTAGACGAGGCCCGCTTTAGGGCAAGAAGGTGCATTAAAATGCAGCTGGACCTAGCACTGCTTCCAGGAACCTGCAAGGCCATCCTTCATGCTCTGTGAGCATCCTAATTTAAGTATCACTTCCTCTTTAGAGGAAAATCGAGAAGAAAGACCACAACTGCTCAAAGCCACGTACTTCCTCTTCCTTCCCTCCAGGCACTCTCCGACAAGAGAGCATTGGGTAATGGCTCTCTTGAAACACGTCCTAAATTCCTCTCTAGCCACGGTGCACCCTTTTTTTTCCTGCTGAACTTCAAGGGGCAGTTCGGGCTATCAAAATACTGCTGCCCATCTCAGCCTTCACCCAGGGCTGGTGAAAACTAAGGTGGGGGAGGATGATGGTTGTGGTGTGGCAGAGCCCTTTGGTCGATTTTGGTTAGCAGCCCCTTCTGGAGAATCACGGGCCCCTTGGTGATAGGTGGAAGGTGAGTGTGTTCTGTCACATGTTTGCTTCCCCACCGCAGTCCGCCTTGTCTTCTCTCTTTATCAGAAGGGGGTCCACGGTGTCTGTGGCTTTTCTGTCTGCCGGGGAATCTGAAATTCACATTTAGCCGGGCATCCTGTGTTTCACTCGCTAAATCTGATGGCCTGGCCCCGATGGGCTTGTGTCAAACCTAGGAGCAGACCCTCCTGTTCGTTTCCAGCCATTCTGGCCTCTGGTCGGCGGTGTAGACGCAGCAGCTTAGTTTCTGATCCCTGACCTAGTCGCCGATAATACCCATCAAGAGACCTGACTGCGCTCCCCTCTTGGATCTTGTTGCCCTTGGACCTCCCCAAACGATGGTGACAGCATTAGCTGCCATTTTCTTGAGCGCCTGCTCTGCTAGGCATTTTGTGGACAGTTTCATTTAGTCCACCCAGCAGCCCTCCAGAGTAGGGATGATGATCCATTTTTCTTTCTTCTCTTGGCAGATGAGGAAACAGAATTGGCAAAGTTATGTGGTGTATCCAGAGTCACACAGCTAGCCAGTGGCAGTCAGCGTTTGAACTCAGAGCCACCTCCACCTCTGCGGGGCTAGGGGCCACAGCCTGAGGCCAGCAAGCAGGCCCCGGACTCAGCGAAGGCATATGGGCTCCTGAGCCTGCTAACATAATGACCTAGTGCGGAGATTCAATTATGTCTCCTATTTTCAGTGACAGTTTTGCTCTCTCAGTAGATGAATTAGCAGCAGAGATCCCCTCCCCCGGGCGAGACAAGGCCCGCTTTAGGGCAAGAAGGTGCATTAAAATGCAGCCCTGTCTCATTAAGCTGCCAGCCACTCCTTACCTGCCCACTTCTGCCCTGCGCCTGGGGAACCCGCGTCTGCTGAACCTGGCCCCCGTTAGATCGCCGAGCACCAACCTTTTAAGGGGCCCCGTAGGTGGACTGTGGGTGGCCGTTCTTGCTCTCATTCCCTTAGAGAAACTTCAGGGAGGCCTCTTCTGGCCCCAGGTGGGCAGAGGACACTGGAGAGGAGTAGGGGAAGGAAGGAGGGCGTTGAAGGCAGTGAAATCCCTTTAAAGTGAGCGCTCTGTGTGCCCACTTGAGCTTCACGGCAGCCCGAGAAAGTAGTTTCTACGAAGACCGTTTTGGGCGCCCGGGTGGCTCAATCGGTTAAGTGTCTGCCTTCTGCTCAGGTCATGATCCCGGGGTCTTGGGATTGAGCCCTGCATCGGGCTCCCTGCTTAGCAGGGAATCTGCTTCTCCCCCTGCTCATGCTCTCGCTTGCTCTCGTGCTCTCTCTCAAGTAAGTAAATAAAATCCTAAAAAAAAAAAAAAAAGACCCTGTTTCTTCCATTTTCAGATGCACCTTTTTTCAGTTTGATGTACTGTAGATATGCAGGATGCATACCTTTCTCTCTCTCACCGTCTCAGCCCACCACTGAGACCAGGAAATACGGCATCACTGTTTTGCTCTTGAGAAAAATGAGGCTCAGGGGTGCCTGGGTGTCTAAGTCGTTAAGCGTCTGCCTTCGGCTCAGGTCATGATCACAGGGTCCTGGGATCGCGCCCCACATCAGGCTCCCTGCTCAGCGGGAAGCCTGCTTCTCCCTCTACCACTCCCCCTGCTTGTGTTCCCTCTCTCCAGTCTCTCTCTCTCTGTCAAATAAATAAATAAAATCTTTAAAAAAAAAAAATGAGGCTCAGAGATGTTGAGTGCTTGACCAATGTGGCCCAGCTGATGTGTAACAGAGCCCCCCACTGAACCTGTGCTTGACTCAGCCTATGTTCTTTTGTCCCTAAAACCTTCTTACAAAACTGCTGCATTGTCCTGGCACCAAGCCCCGGATAGGTGGTTGCTTTCTTTTTTCCATTTTACTTGCAGTGACCTCTGAGCCAGAAGCATCTTGTTTAGACCAAGCGTGAGTGGTTTGGATGTTACTGGGCAAGTCGTGGGTGGTTACTCTGGGTACCAGCTGTGGTAATCTGTTTGTATTTGCTCTAACCCCGGGATCCCACTGGTCAAGTGGACACCTGGGGGGGGGGGCGGTTCACACCTGGAGGGCGGGACAGTGCAGGGGAGATGTTTTTCTCCTACAAGAGTCTGCTGACAAACATTTTATATTTTCTTCTAGGTACATTGAACGGAAGGCTTTTCTAGACCGAGTGGACCACAGGCAGTTTGAAATCGAGCGAGATCTCAGGCTGAGCAAAATGAAACCCTGATGTCATGGTGGGAAATCAATAGCAGCTTAATCCTGTTGACAATGTGAGCTTCTGGTGCGTCTGTGAAATATTTCTGGTGTTTCTCATCAGCTGTTTCCCAGCAAGGTCTTTTTTCCACGTTGAATTTCTGTCTTTGTATCTTGACCTCACGTGGTTTCATCCATTTTACTTTTAAAAGTTTGTCCTTGAAAAAAATAAAAATAAAAGTTGGTCCTACAAGAGGCTGGTGAAGATGAGGACACCACTGGCCTTCCCTTTATCCTGCTGTGAAGGCCACCAGCCAGGCCCGCACGTCCTGGCCTGCGCGAGCTGGTCCCAGGGAATAGCGCGACCAGCCTGGGGCTGAATTTCTGGGGCCCATTCTGGAGTCGGCCTTGCCCCCGAGACTGGGGGAGGGAGGCTCCCGAGGGTGGGTGGAACGCCAAGTCCTTGCAGTTTGGTTCTTGTTCCGCTGCTGCTTCTCTCCTGCTCTCTTCCTCCCTGCTGAACGGGATTCCTACTTAACTGGTAGAAGGTCAGGCTGAAAGTAAGCATGTATTATTGCTGAATTAGGGATTTTTTTCCCTTCAGCCTTTTTCCTCTTCCCAGAGTTCAAGTCAGTTTAAGATGTGTTCCCACCTCGGTAATTCTGTCAAAGAAAACTCTGAAAGACTCTTTTTTTATACTCCTTAGGAAAATTTAAATTCCAAACTGCACAGTAATAAAGGAGTAAACCCCACAGTTTGCTTTTGGGGTGTGTGTGTCTGGGTGTCCTGAGTAACATGGACAGGTTTAGGGTCATGTAGTGTTCCGAAGACTGGGAGCCAGTCCCTGCCTGGACATGTACCAGCCGTGTGACCTTGACCACAGCTGGGCTTTCGGAGCCTCTGTTTTCTGGTCTGTAAATGGTATGAGGAACACCACTACTTTGTAGGGTTGAGATGAGCTAATGACACACCTGGGGTCCCCCATCCAGTCCTCAAATACATAGTCAGAAGCTCATGGCAACCAATGCCTGATCCTCAACACTACATGGTTATGGGGTCATGGACCTTATTACTCAGAAAGGTAGTTTACTGGCTACATTGGAACACATTGTCTGTTCATATCCACTCTGATAAAGGATTGTAAAAGTGGTAGGAGAGCCCTTCGGGCCAGCATCAGAAAAGGTCGCTGTGAGGCCTCGGTTATGGTCCTACACAGGGATACAAGAGTAACGGGAAAGTCCTTTAAGGTAAGACAAGGCAGCGCTCTGGTTAGGACAAGGACATCCAGACCCGCAGGAGCCACAGCTAGACAGCGTGGCACCCTCTGGGCATCGTCCTCTGTTCACTGCCGCTTGCCTTCCGAGTCCTGAGGGCCTCCAGCCCGCGCTCCCTCCCACGGTTCTTCGTCTCAGGCGTGACGAAGCTGTGACGTCTCAGCGTGAGCCAGCGCCTCGTCTGGGTTGAGAAACGATCTGGAATCCTACCGAATAAATGGTGCTGAGCCCGTCGCAAGTTAGGGTTTTTCTTCTTCAGCAAATCTTCACGCCTTTGAAGCCTTCGAGATGGGGACAGTAGCTGCAAGAGCATGCTGGGTTCTTGGCACAGGTGGGTGTGCTATTCTTGCTTTGCCCAAGGTGTGGAGAGAGAAGTCAGACGAGTCAGGGAGCGCCATAGCGCATTTGCCCTTCAGTTTCTGTTCACGACCCAGCCCTCACACAGGCTTCTCTGCTGAGCCCTGCATTAGATTAAATTTACAGCTGCACAAAGGTGGGAGGGATCCTTTCTGCGGTCTCAACTTAGTGAGTGTTTTCCAGGCGGGTTTGCTGCACACATCTGATCTCCACTCAGTGACTTTTTACACATCCACGCATCTTTTGGAAAGCCTCCCCGTCCCCCCACCCCGTGAAGCGACCTGGTGGCCAGCCTGGCAAAGCCTGCACCGGGCCCCGGTCCTGCGTGGCCACCACCGGCCACCAGGCTTCGGGAGGCGCCAGGCTCTTCAGGGCCCCACTGTCCCCTCCCCATAGACTAGGCAGGCTGCTGCAAGCAGAAATAGTGGGGTTCTTGTACAGCAAAACACCAAAAAAGAAGGGGTTTTTTTTACTATCCAAGCCACACGCAGGCCTTCCTGACATCCTGGAACCGTGTGCCTTGCACCCAGTGGAAAATAAACTCCAAGCAGCCAGTAAAACAGAAAGCCCCTCAAGCCTAGCCCCTTGGGGCAGAATCCGGCAGCTGGCCAAGGAATGCGCAGCTACTGAGACCATTCTTGTTACAGACGCCCTTCCTCCCAGCTTCGTGCATCCTTGCTTCAGTGTTCCCAGACTTTCACAGTTAAAATAGTTTCATTTGCCTTGACTTCAGCTGCCTCCCTCTTCATCTCCATAGAACCTCTTTATTTTTTTAAAAAAGATTTTATTTATTTATTTGACAGAGACACAGCGATAGAGGGAACACAAGCAGGGGGAGTGGGAGAGGGAGAAGCAGGCTTCCCGCTGAGCAGGGAGCCCGATGTGGGGCTCGATCCCAGGACCCTGGGGTCATGACCTGAGCCGAAGGCAGACACTTAATGACTGAGCCACCCAGGCGCCCCTCCATAGAGCCTCTTTAAACGCCACCTGCATTGGGGCATCTTGCTGGTTCAGTCGGTAGAGCGTGCAGCTCTTCATCTCGGGGGTTCTAAGTTTGAGCCCCAGGCTGGGTGTAGAGATTACTTAAAATCTTAAAAAAAAACGTCCCTCATACTGAACTAAGTTCATATTGATGAAGCCGCTTCCTCTGGCTAATACACGTGCAGATGTGTATATGTGTGCACGTGTATCATCCTGCAATGAGACTTTTAAAAGCAGCTTCAAAGCTGGCTTTCATGTACGTCTCACTGGCCATTGCTGGATCATCTGACTGCCCCCAGCTGGATGCTGGAAAGCCTGTTGTGGAAGATGGGGGTGGAATTAGGAATAGGTGATTGGTCAGCCAAACAGTGGTCCCCGGAACACTCGATTCTTTGTAATAAACCAATAGGCTTTTCTCCAGTTGGTCCTTAAAATTGTCACCAAGGAGTGGGTGGGCTCAGAGAGGAGGAGATGGGTCATGTGTCGATAATTACTGAGTCTGAGTGAGGAAGACAGCAGATCCTTCACACTATTCTCTCTACTTCCATTTGGATTTGAGTTTTTAATAATGAATTGGTTTTTTTCAGTTGTGCCAGCGAGAGAGAACGGAGCTGTGTATAGGAAAGGACTAAGAGGGGCCCAGCTGTTAAGGGCAGAATGGGCAGCCTCCTAGAGCCCCGCTCCCACCCTGCATGTCTAACGGTGGCCAGAAGCATAGTGGCGGGGACGCTCCCCGCCCCCCCACATCCTGTGCTTGTTTTAACAGCTTGGAGCCCAGTCTTTGCAGATTGCGTGTTGTCCCATCTCCTGGACCCCTCTGCCCCGTGTTTGCTTACTACTCTGGCTCAGTTCCCAGGGACAGGACCCGGGCCTCGGGTCTTCCTCTTGGTTGGCTGTGCTCCTGCCTGAGTCCCGTTCATGCCCTTGGTGGGACCTGCCTGCCCAGCCAGCGTGGCCACCTGTCCCTACCCCTACCTACCTCACTCTCAAAGGCCTGAGAGCTGCCTCAGTGAACATCTGGCCTTTCCTGGTGGGCCCACTGAGGCCCGGCAGGGTAGTGGGGCTAACAGAGATGTTACTATGTTCAATCGAGAATCTCCTTTTCCATCCGTCCTGTTTGAACCATGGCAGACACCATCTAGCCCACAGTTTTTAAGAATAAGTGGATCGTATTTTATCTAGCTCTTCATATCCACATATAGTGAAAACTCTTCTGCCCAACTCCAGAGGAAATGATTTCCCTTTATCCGGGAGTGGGGAAGTGGAGAGACTGAGTCAGTGCTACGAGGTGGGTGGGCAGGGCACCGCGGCCTTGGGGCCACGGCCTGGTGGGAGTGGCACGGGGACGGCCCAAGGACACCTCCTGGCTGGGCCATTGCGGGCAAGAATCCCTGAAAGTTGTTACCTGGCCCTGCTCTGCCATCAGTCTTTGTCTTCTCCTTGCCCCAGATGGCTGTGTCGGATTTCCAGGGCATCTGATGCCTTCCCAATGCTGAAAAAACTGCCCTGGACAGCATCAGGTCAAAGAATAAAATGAGCTTCCTTAGGAGATTCTGCTCACCTATTTCCTGAGGAACACGGTGCTCTCATTATGAGCTCGGCATAAGGTCTCTAGGGAAGAAGGGACGGCGAGGTGAACTCAGTCTTGAGTGAGCTGTGCACCGTGGGAGCCGGAGCGGGGGGCCTGGGCTGGGACCCCTGGCAGGCAAGTGGTGGTGAGGTCCCACAGCCAGCTGCTTCCTCACGGGCCATCTGTCGAATCCTCCTCATTTTTCACCAGAGGAAACTTGCCTGAGGTCAAACTGCGAAGCCACCCGGGATCACACCTACATCTTGTGACTGGAGGGCCTGATGGGGGCGGGGAAGGCAAAACGGAACGGCCTGTCACCCCCTTGGGATCCCGACGCACAGACATGAGTCCGGGGGGACAGAAGCAGCCAGGATGGGGAGATGATTGCAGGTGGAGAGCGGCAAATGGTGCTCCTGGTGCCAAAAGTTCGTGGCAGGACACAGAGGTGTGGGCACACCCCTTCGGCTTCCACTTCTGCCCCCGCCCTGGGGCAGCAGCCCAGCCACTCTCTGCAGCCCGAGACACCCCCAGGCCTTGTTCAGACAGGCCTCTGCTCAAATGTCACTCAGGCATAAGCTCTGCTCCAGAACCAAGTTTCTGTGCTAAGCAAGGTTCACAGGGTTGCCCTCTTTTGGGATGCCGCCTGGTTTCAGGGAGTGTGGGGAGGAGGGACCAGGGGGCCCAGCTGACAGTTCCTTAGAGAATTGAGGTATCATAAATGCTTCTCCCACTGTACCTCCTTCCCTGGTGTGTTCACAGTTCCTCCCTCGGACTTTTCTGTAAAGCCTTTTCTTTTCTTTGTGCCCTCCTAGGGCAACTTAGATCCCCAAATACTATCAGATGCGATCTTTGTGCACAGGCATGTCGACCACCGCAAGGAAAATGGAATGTGCAAGTCCAGAAGATTCTGCCCTGCTTCCGTGCAGCCTGGAATGGTCCAAACCACAGAGACCCTCTTTCAGGGTCTCCTCTCCATGGTCTGCCAGCCATCGTTCATTGTGTTGTCACCTCAGAAAGCTGATGGGGTAAACTGTGACCTATGCTTAAGTAAGGTACAAGGGGGCGGGGTGGGGGTGGGGGCAGGGGAGAAATTAACATTGCCTAAGGAGAGCACCATCCTGGACTGACACATGGGTCGTCCTGCCTCTAACCTTCAGTCCTAACACTGCTGTGATCCAGGTGGAGTCCCTCTGAGTCTCAGATACCTTGTTCAGAAGGTTGCAGAGAATGGTTAATAATCCTGCTCTGCCTACCTCACAGTGTTTTATTAAATGAAGCACACTATCCAAGTGTTAGGTTACTACAATTAAATTGTGCACCTGGCCCCCAGCTTCCCAAGACAACCAGGCTTATGTGAATATAAAGTAGCACTTTGAGGAACAGTTGGGTGATGTCTAATCTGGAACTGCTCTCAGCCCATGACACAGCAACTTTTACTCCTGGGTTGACATCCTGGAGAAGCAGCACAAGGAGGCAGGCTTACTGTAATCATAAAAACCTGGAATCCACCCAGTACCCATCAGGAGAAAAGATCGATTGTGAAGTAGTCACACGGGGCAATACAGGACAGCAGTGAGCCGAACGAGGAGGGCAGCGTGCATGAGCACAGATGAGCCTCGTAAGCAGCATTGATGCAAAAAGCAAGCAGCAAAAGTCCTAACGTAGGATCCCAGTTATACAAGCTCAAAAACGTGAACATGGAGGTAATCGTTGCCCAACACTGCCCACTGCACTAAATACCACTGAATTTTACACTTTAAGATGGTGGGGTTTATGTTACATGACTCTCACCTCAAAAAAATGTTTTAACTTGCAAAAGATATTATACCTTGGTTCAGAATATAGGAAGGGTATATAATCATATATATAATATATAAATATAATTATATATAATGAATGGGTGATAGACACTAAACTCAGCATAGCGGTTACCTCTCACAGGATAGGGAAGTTTCTATGATCAGAGAAAAGGAGCTTCGTTTACAGATGTGGTTTTATATCTTAAATTGGGAGGTGAGGACACAGATATTTCTTACATTATTCATTATGCCTTTATTTTCTGAAGTACTTCAAGATAATTATTTTAAAAAGAAAGATAAGCTCACATTTAGACTTCCCCTGTCCGTCTTACAGAGAGGTGTCCAAGGGATGGGCACCACAGGGATGCAGGGGTTGCCATGGTGATGCAGCTTGCTGGGTTCCAGAATGATCTTCCTAAATGGCTCCTGGAACATTTCCCCAGGTGAGAGACTCATTCAGGTAAACTACCAGGTGCCCCCAACTGCCGTTTCTCTGAAAAGCAGGTTGGGTGGCTGGGAAGCTGAGGGGTCTGTGCTAGGCCATGTACCCCCTCCCAGCGAGGCCAATGCCCCCTTGCCCACGTGGCCTTGACCAGTTGCACAGAGACAGGACACAAACAGGCCATATGTTGGAAAGATGTTGCGGCGAGCGTCGACTTGTTAGATGCAAATAAATGGTCCCTGACCCAGATAAACAAGCTTCAAATTTGAAGACACCAAAAGGAATTACAATGTGTGGGTTTTCTAGTAGAAGTTATGGAGCTGCCCATCTTCAAACTGTGCCCAGCATCCTGAGCTGTCCCCAGGGCCCTTGGGCCCCAGCTGTGACATGGGGCTGCTGTGGGTGCCTCAGAGGGAGCAGTGGCCAGAGTCCTCAGGGTGTGGAGGGTTGCTGCCCAGCTGCTCTGCTCTCTTCAGCCTTCCCTCTTCCACCCTTACATCTTTGCATTATAACCTAAGCCCATCTGTGTTTGAGGCACTGGGACTGACAAGTGGAAGACATTTTTAAGTCTGGAAGCTCTTTGGGGCCTAGAGAACGCCATCTGGGGTAGGGTGGACCCTCTGGGTCCTGGTCGCCTCATCAAGATTGCTCCGTCTTTACTGTTGTCTCAAGCCGGACCCCACAGTTCGGTTACGCTCTACCGTTGAGCTCCATTATGGGACCTTTGAATTTGAGGTTGGGGTCCTGAGACACAGGGAGGGGATTCTCCCCGTTCTCAGTCACCTACCCCCCAGCCCTCCTGCACCAACAGTGTCTGGCATGACCTGTGTGTGCCCCCGGCACTGCGGTGGACAACGAGCTGGAAATGACGAGAAGCAGCATCGTTGCGGAGGCCTCTGTTGTCTTGGCAATGCAAGTGGTGTTTTCCACAAAACTGCAAATAGCCCACATGGTATAAGAAAAAAAAATAGTTTTTGTGCAGTTCTGGGTTCCTAAAACCCTTGGGATTTGTACGCTTCAGGATGGGGCCTGGTCACCAGCAACACCGCCCCTGTAGCTGGAGGGTTTAAACTTACAGTCCGGTCCCTGGACCTCTGGGGAGGGAGGGGAGGCCGGGGAGGGAGTCCGATCAGGCCAGTGATTTAAGCAATTGTGCCTACGTAATGAGATCTTGATAAAAATACCTCACCAACAAAGTTTGGGGAGCTTCTGAGTTGGGGGAGCACATCCACGTGCCGGGAGGGTGGCACACCCCAATTCCATGGGCACAGAGACTCTTGCACGGTACCCTTCTGCACCCGTCTTCGTCTGGCTGTTCATTTGCATCCTTTATAACAGACAGCAATCATAAATAGGGCACTTTCCTGGGCCCTCGAGTTCTAGCAAATGATCAAAGCTGTTGGCGGCGGTCATGGACTGAGCAGAAGGGTGCGCAGTCTGAGCGCCCCATTTGCGGCTGGTGTCTGAGGTGGGGACAGTCTTGTGTGACTGCACCTCTTACCTGCGGGAGGTCTGCACTGACTCTCGGTACTTGGTGACAGAGTTGAATTGCTGGACCTCCAGGTGGTGTCAGAGAACCCCGCTTTTGTCTCTTGCCTTAACACCAAACACCTGCCACAGGAGACCAAGAGACGGTCTAGTGGAGTGACCTGCTTGGGTACATGGCTTGGCCCCTCGCCTCCCCTTCCCCCCATTTCTGTATCTATAAATCAAAGGGGAGGGATTACATAATCCCGGGGGGCAGGAATCTCAATTCTCACAAGCAGCCAGGTGATGCTCATGCACCCTGAAGTGTGAGAACAACTGCTCATCGCCTCCCTACTCATTAAAAATAAAAAAGCCTCCAGCTATGTATTTAGGAAAATTCCATCTTCCTTTAATCCTGCCACTTCAAATAATTCAAACTCCTAAATTCCTGATGCATCAGCAAACCGTAATGAGTACGCGCCCGGGTTCCTTCCCTGCTGTCTGCCGAGACCCACCTGCAGGAACTGTCTCCGACTTTGAGAAGTCTTCAGAGGCCCAGGAGAGAGCTTAGGCAGGAAGCCCCTTAACGTTAAGCAGTCACTGGGAGAAGCAGCTGAAGGAAGGCCTGGGGAAGCAAGCAAGAAATTCAGACGACAAAATCCACCCAAGTCCCAGCAAACACAGCTGAAGACCCAGCACCGCGCTGCCAGGTTGGCAACAGATGGGGGTCCCACGTGTGCGCGCGCGCACACACACACACACGTGCTCACACCCGCTAAGCGGGGTTTGTAATGTGTCAGCAGGTTGCCCTGCAGCTTGGAGAAGCCCCAAGCCACCAGGGGTACAACACGCCTGTCAAAACAAGCCCCGCTCCCACCAGCCCCGCCCACACCGGGCCTTCCTGCCAACGTGAACTTTGCTGCTCCAGGCTTCTCCTCTCTCTTCTCCCTTCCTCTGATGATAGAAGGAAACCGTTCGTTGTTGGAAAATCTGGAAGCAGAAAAATCAAACAGAATTCAGATCTCTCATCATCTTACTAATAGAGCAAACTGCTACATTTCGGGATACCTTCAGACTTCTCCCACACATGTTTTTAGGTAGTTTTTCATAAGGCCGTTGGAATTATACTCGTACCTGTGCAGCTCTGACCACATACGGCTATTTAAAAAAAAAAAATTTTTTTTTTTTTTGAGTAGACTCCCCACCCAAAGTGGGGCTTGAACTCACAACCCTGAGATCAAGAGTCATATGCTCTCCCGACTGAACCAGGTAGGTGCCCCTAAATTTAAATTTTAAATTCATGAGAATTCAAAATCCAAAAGAAAAAGAAAAGAATTCAAAATTCAGTTTCTCAGTCACATCAAAGATTTCCAAGTACTCAGTAGTCACATGTGACTACTGGCTAAAATCGTGGACGGTGCAGACACCCAAGATTTCCATCATCATAGAACTGTATTGGACTGAACTGCCCTGTGATATATGCCACGAGCATTTCCCCATTGATTCAAACAGTCCTTTTATTTTTTTAAGATTTTATTTATTTGAGAGAGTGAGACTTGGGGAAGGAGCAGAGGGAGAGGGACAAGCAGACTCCGCACTAAGCATGGAGCCCAATGAGGGGCTCAATCTCAGGACCCCGAGATCATGACCTGAGCCAAAATCAAGGGTCGGATGCTCAACCGACTGAGCCGACCAGGTGCCCCCCAAACGTTCTTTGAGAAAACAGTTTTAACGGCTCTAGGATATGCCATCACGTGGTTGTACCATAATTTATTATACTGGTCTTCCACCATTGGTCACTGAGGTTACCTGCTTTCTGTTGTTAAAAATAATGCCGCGATGGGGTGCCTGGGTGGCTCAGTCGGTTAAGCGACTGCCTTCGGCTCAGGTCATGATCCTGGAGTCCCGGGATCGAGTCCCGCATCGGGCTCCCTGCTCGGCAGGAGGTCTGCTTCTCCCTCTGCCCTCTTCCCTCTCGTGCTCTCTGTCTCTCATTCTCTCTCTCTCAAATAAATTAAAAAGTAATAATAATAATAATGCCGCGATGAACTGCCTTGTCCTTAGATCTTGATCTGCGTCACTGGTTATTTCTAGATCACTTCTACAAGTGGAGTTGTCATGTCAGGGAAGGCACACATCTTCAGGGCCTTGAAACATAATGCCCATTTACCTCCCAGAAAGGTCTCCCTCTCTCCAGCAAAGTGGTTGTGCGCCTCTCTTTCTATGTGAATCTTGTCTTCCTCTGAAAAGACAAGATTCAGCAAGGTTGCCCTGCTTGCCTGTCTCTGAGCATGGAGCCCAGTGGCTTTGGGTGAGAGGTGGCTGGAACTAGGAGGAGAATGGCCATCCCTGGAGAAGACTGGACTAGATCACGCCTAAGTGCCGAACCTTCTTTGGTACCAGCCCAGCCCAGCCCTGTCTCTGGAAGGGGCATTTGAACAAGACAGGCATGATGGTTAATTTTATGTGTCAACTTGACTGGGCTAAGGGATGCCAAGATAGCTGGTAGAATGTGCATGTAAGGGTTTTTTTCTGGAAGAGATTGCATTTGAATAGGTAGACTGAGTAAAGATCCTTGTCAGCAGTGTGGGTGGACATCATCCAATCCACTGAGGGCCTGGATAGAACAAAAGGAGAAAGGCAAATTTGCTCTCTCCTTGAGCTCAGACAGACATCCTTCTCCCACCATCCGTGCTCCTGGTTCTGGGAGATCTCCGGACTTGAACCGGACATACACCGTCAGCTCCCCGCCAGGGTCTCCAGCCCACAGACAGCTGACCATGGGACTTGGAAGCCTCCCTGTCTCCTATTGCTTCTCCTTCTTTGGAGAACTGATGAAGGCAACATGAATATGCCCCAGGACCTGATTCATCACAAACCTAGTTTCGTGGCACGTTCATCTGTGGGTTGCTCTGAACAGTTTTTGAATCCAGTTAGCCTTACCTCTCAGGGCAGGTGAGTTTTGTGCAGTTAAGAGATGTACCTTCAAGGGGTGCCTGGCTGGCTCAGTCAGTAGAATGTGCTCTTCTTGATCTCAGGGTCATGAGTTCAAGCCCCATGTTCGGTGTAGAGCTTGCTTAAAAAAAAAAAAATCTTTTTTTAATTAAAAAGAAAGAAAGAAAAGGTGGGGGCTTCACTACCCTTCCTTTACACTTGCCCAGCGGTTCTGAGGTCTGGTGAACAAGTTCAAATTTGCCTTAAACTATTATTCCCAGCTGCTTGGCCTCCAATCTCACTCCCTCTCTGTCTGTATCTTCCCAAACTAAGGCTTCCCCTCCTTTTTTTTTTTTTAAGATTTTATTTTTAAGTAATCTCTATACCCAATATGGGGCTCGAACCCACAAACCCGAGATCAGGAGTCTGGCACTCTACCAACTGAGCCAGCCAAGTGCCTCTCCCCTTCCTTTCAATGGCTTGCCAGCCCCCTTTTTCATCTCAACCCCTTTGTGTGTTCTCCAGGTCTACCACCTTGACCTTGACCTGGGATCAGGCCCCAAGCGTCAGTTCTGGCACCATTGTTTCTTTGTGAACTTTGGCTGCCTCATGCAGCCTCACTTTTGCTTGACAGTTACGGAGCCGCGCAGACTGGCCCATGGCAACTGCCTCATTTGTTGCGTCCCTGGACAAGAGGGAGCCAATGAGGCTGGGGCAGCAGGAGAGCGGAGCGCATCTGGGCTTCTGTGCCTGCAGATGGCAAACGGGTTCACTGCCAACTACAGCAAGACCCCAGGCCCCCCAGGATGAGCTGGGCTTAGGCTACCCTGGGCCTCAGGGCTGCTGAAGCCTCCTTCCTTGGAGATGGCTAAACGGATTATCTGGAAGGAAACCATTTAACACCGACCCAAGGGTCACCTAGGTGGCTCAGTCAGTTGGGGCATCTGACTTTTGGTTTTGGCTCAGGTCGTGATCTCAGGGTCATAGGATCGAGTCCCACGTCGGGCTCCCTGCTCCACGGGGAATCTGCTTGAGATTCTCTCTCTCCCTCTCCCTCTGCCCCTCTCCCTGCTCGCGCGCTCTTTCTCTCTCTCTCAAATAAATTAAATTAAATTAAATCAACCCAAAGGCGCATCCCTTTCACAAGCCTGAGAAGCTGGCAGCAAGAACAATACCCCACAATGCACAGAGCTCTCGGGCAGCCTCTCTCCAAGCTGAGTCACGGCAGTGAGTCTCCCTCAGGCTGCCGGCGGCCCAGGGGTTGCTATGTCCTTGTTCCCTAGTCTCACTGGGGCCTGGGTTATTCAGCAGCCTAAAGCGACGTGCCCAGAGGCCAGAGAGTAAGAGGGGATCCAGCTTCGGCTCACCAAGGGAGCTTTCCCCGCTCCCCGCCACCACAAAAGGGAGACTCTGCTCCTCCTTACATGGGCTTTCTCCCCGGCAGGGCAAGAACTAGAAATCAGAAAACCTGGGTCCTAGCCCCAACTCTTTGGTGCTTTGACGAAGCCCCTTCCTCTCCCTGAGGGCTCCTTCCTGACAGGGCACGGTTTGGGCTGAGCCTTTCCCTCCCTGGAGTGCCCAGGGACACCGAAGGGGACACTGTGTGGGGTGCTGCCGGGATTCGAGGGGGAGAAAGCAACAGGAAGGGTTGTCCGGAAATCCTCTCCCCACCTGTTTATTATTCTTCAGGCCTTTCTGCAAGCAACTCCCCAAATATGCCCAAGGGTCGGTGAGGACAGGAAGGTCAATAGCTGGTGGCTCCTTAAGGGCAGAAGAACCGGTAGGACTGTAGACTGGTTGACCCATTCTCCTCTGTGGAACGGCCCAGAACCCCAAGTGCGGGGAGAGGTGGCTGCTCCCTGCTCACAGCTGTTGCATCTTTGGAAAAGTATCCTTGGCCGAATGGGACCTCCTGGCCCAAATTACTCCCCACCCCATGCCAGGCAGTGGTCAGTGTGTAGCCTAACGGGCCGCCCCCTAGGTGGGACCAGTTCTGAGGTGCAAGTCACTCCAGAGCTCCCCGGAGACCAGGCTGAAGCTGGACCTCCCCGTTCTCTCTGGCCCCACTCCCCTTCTCTCAAGAAGCTACTTTCAAAGAATCCCTGTCTCAGGCTCTGCTTTTAGGAAATGACAACCCCTATGATGTCTTGCACAGATTAGGTACACAATCAATATTTTTGCATAGGTGGCTATCACCCAGGGCCCCACCCCCCACCCCACCCCCGCCACGGGTTTCCATCAGGATGCAGACTCCCAGCAGGAGTCGGTCTGATGCCTTACAATACCCCGAGAGATGGAGACATGGTTGAACGACGGAGGAAGACGCAGCCTTCTAAGGGAACAGAAGTAGACCCCCCAAATGGGTGGACCCAGGTGTCCCCAGCACCCTCTCTGAGCCCTCTATGCAATTGCCCCATTGCCCAGAAGGAGATACTCAGGTCCCAAGAGGGGCGACTGGCCCAGGTGGGGGACATTAGAGCATGGCAGAGTCGGCGTTTGAATGCAGGCCTCCCCACTGAGGGTTTGCTTTCAGAAACCTTGGTTTGTCTCTCCCCAGGAACAGGTGGGGCTCAGGCTGCTGGACCCTGGAGGGGAGCCCCTCTCCGCACCGGCTTTGCTGCCCACACAGGCCCCCTGAACTCTTGCTCATCCTTCAAGCTCCTGTTTGAGCGCCGCCTCCTCCAGGAAGCCTCTGCCAGCACAGGCTGACCAGGAGGGCAGAGCCCATTTCCACTCCTCCATCCGGGTCTTCACTGTGTCTCCAGGTCTTAGCCTGACATTGGAGGGCTGCCCCTCAGCAAGCATCACTCCATCCCACTCGGAAGGTCTGTCATCTGGGTGATATGCAGCCTTGTCTTTCTAGAACCTTCCGCCAGACATTACTCCCATCAAACATTGAGCCCAAGGGCTTTGTATAAAGAACTTGCCAGAGGTCACCCTCGAGGCCAGAACGTGGGCCAGCCTCCAGCATCTTTATTAGCCTCCCCTTCTCTCAGCCCCATCAGGACGGGTGGGGCCGCGGCTGCCTCCGGGGAGCAGGAGAAGTAGAAAGCTCCGGGCCAGGAAAGGCCGGCTGGTGGGCGGAGAGACAAGTCAGCGATTCGGACAGCAGCGTTTAATGGGTGTTTCCGCGCTGGGGGCCCCAGTAGCCCTTACATGCCCTGGATCCCAGGCCTTCCAGGACGTGCGAGCCAGGGCCACGTACTGCTCAATTCTCGGCGGTGGGGGTGGGGGCGGCTTTCACATAGAATGAAATAGGGAGGGGGCTCCCTGGAGCTGGGGGCCGCTTTGCTGCTTTACTAAAGCCTCATTTGAGAGAGGGGATGAAAACGTGCTTAGAGTAGAAACACCATGCTGAAGTTCACAAGGCAGGACCAGAACCCAGGCCCTGCCCTGCCCTGCCCCTGGAGGCCAAAGGTGACAGGGAGGCCGGGTTCTTGCCAAAGTGCAGATCTCACTCCCTACCGTGAGTCCCTTCCTGTTTCCACAAGGGTCAGTCTCAGTCCCCGGGAGCAGGGAGACTTCCCCAGCGCCCCTGGGGGGCTGGGGGCCTGGCCTCCCTGCCTCGCTGAGAACCGGACCGCTGCTCTGGGGACTCGCAGTGGTGACCTCAGTGTGACAACAGCTCTTTCGGGCTCTTTACTAATTTAGAGAATGTATACTATTCAGGCGGGTGGCTTCATCCTCGGATTCAGAAACACAACGCCCTGGGGATTGTTTCCAGTGGACAGTGAAATTCCACTTGTCACAGTCACTGAGAACGCAGGCCTGTTCCTGGAAGAGGCTCTGGTCTCTGGGTGTTTACAAACATCCTAGAAGACCAGGAGGCTGGCGGCCAGGGCCCTCGGAGCCAGCCGAGGTGGGAGCTGGAGTTCTGCCCAGCTCAGCTGTCCTGTTCTGGGAGCTCTTGGCAAGTCCCTTCCCCTCTGCCTCCTGCCTGCTGGGGGTGGGGCGGGGCGGGGGGCAGCGACCCGGCGGCAGGATTTGCGTGGGACTGGCCACAGGGCCTTACTCTGATGGCTGCTTGCTTGCATCTCCTGGGTGTCAGGCCCCAGAGTGTCTGTAGGAACCCATCCACGGTGGCTTGCATTTCCTAGGACTTGGCAATTGCATGTTTCCCTCATAAACTGTTATTAAAAAAAAGAAAAAAGAAGTTAGCCAAGAACAGGCAAACTCTTAGAGACAGAAGGTAGAATGGTGGTTGCTAGGGGCTGGGGAAGGAGGAGAAGGGGAGTTACGGTTTAATGGAGACATTTTGCTTGGGATTTTTTTTTTTTAATTTTTATTTTATTTATCAGAGAGAGGGAGAGAGAGCTCACAAGCAGGGGAAGCTGCAGGCAGAGGGAGAAGCAGGCTCCCTTCTGAGCAAGGAGCCCGATGTGGGACTCAATCCCAGGACCCTGGGATCACGATGTGAACCGAAGGCAGATGCTTAACCGACTGAGCCACCCTGGCGTCCCTGGGATGTTTCTGTTTGGGATGATGAGAAAGTTCTAGAGATGGATAATAATGATGATTATACAACACTGTGCATGAACTTCATGTCGCTGAATTGTACACTTAAAAATAGTTAAAATGGGGGGTGCCTCGGTGGCTCAGTCGTTAAGCGTCTGCCTTTGGCTCAGGTCATCATCCCAGGGTCCTGGGCTCGAAACCGTGTTGGGCTCCCTGCTCAGCGGGAAGCCTGCTTCTCCCTCTCCCACTCCCCCTGCTTGTGTTCCCTCTCTCTCTGTGTCTCTCTCTGTCAAATAAATAAATAAAATCTTTAAAAAAAAAAAAAGATAAAATGGGGGCACCCGTCTGGCTCAGTCGGAAGAGTGTGTGACTCTTGATCTCAGGGTCGTGAGTTCGAGCACGACATTGGGTGTAGAGATTACTTAAATAAATAAACTTAAAAAAAAAAACACAGTTAAAACGATGAATTTCCTGTTATGTATGTTTTACCACCATTTAAAAAAGTGTATACTGTTAAAAAAAAAATGCCCAAGTAATGATGTTCATTTGAAAAAACACTGGAAAATAGAGAAAATAATTTTAATTACACCGAAACCCCATTCCCTCCTCCAAAAACAGTCTCCTGTGAAATCCCAATCCATGAAGACAGATAAAACCCTACTTATTAATCAACCTCCCAGTAGGCCATCTCTAAATATTACACATGGTGAACAAAATCTCACTCCCACCCCAAGATAGCCACGGCTGATACTGTGCTATCTACCCTTCCACATTTTTTCCCAACGCAAATATATGACATAAATATAAATATGTGAATTTTTATGAAAATAGGATCTGACCATACTTATTCAGGAAGCCTATTTTTCTTCCGTTAACAGCATATTATAAATGTATTCCCATGTCACTCTCTATCATTGGTGGTGACACCCAGGATGGGATTCTATCATGTAAATATTCCACGACTTAAATGGAGCCCGTTATTGAATATGTAAGTCGTTCCCATGTTAATAAGGAGAGCTACAAGTGATAGCCTTTCCATGTATATCTTTGGCTACTCATGAGTGCATTTTTAAAGATAAATTCCTGGAATTTTGGGGTCAAGGGGTCCCTGCCTGTTGGGGTTTTTTGCCTTGTCTTGCCAGATGGTATGCGGGAGCAATAGGTCATTTATAGCTATTCCCATGAACAGCAAGAGATGCCACTTGAGCTGAGTAAGAGGATTTCTGCCCTGGCCAAACTCAGCCATCGCCAGGATTCAGGCCTTAGGGCCCAGATGGGGAGCAGTCTGCAGGGCCAGGGGTCCTCCCATACACATCTGAACCCCCGGAATCTATGATTAGGTTACATTACAAGGCAAAAGAGGTTCTGCAGCTCTGATTAAATTAAGGATCTGGAGATGGAGAGGTTGTCCTGGATTACCTGAATGGACCCACGATAGTCACCAGGTTCTTTTAAGAGGGAGTCGGGAGGGCCAGAGCCAGAGAGGATGGGAGGATGGAAGCAGAGGTCAGAGTGATGCGGGGCCCCAAGCCAAGGGATGCAGGCGGTCTCTAGAAGCTGAAAAAGGCAAGGGAACCTGTCCTCCCCTAGAGCCTCCAGAAGGAAGGTAGCCCTGCCAGCCAGTTTTGGACTTTCAGCCTCCAGAATTGTAGGATAAGAAGTTCGTATTGTTGGGGCGCCTGGGTGGCTCAGGTGGTTAAGCGTCTGCCTTCGGCTCAGGTAATGATTCCAGGGTCCTGGGATTGAGCCCCACGTCGGGCTCCTGGCTTAGTGGGGAGCCTGCTTCTCCCTCTCCCTCTGCCTCCCCCCCGCTCATGCTTGCTCTCTCTCTGTATCACCGTGTCTCAAATGAATAAATAAAATCTTAAAAAAAAAAAAAAAGTTCGTATTGTTGTAAGCCACTAAGTGTGTAGGAATTTGTTCCAGCGTCAGTAAGAAACTAATACATCTGTCTCCCTCCTGCCACCAGGTCCTGAAGCCACCTTGTCTAGGGCACGATGGTCTCCCTCTGTAGCCAGTCACCTGATGACCTGCACATCACCCCCTCTCCTAACCAGGTGCTTCTCAGGCAGAGCATACCGAAGGTTCTGTGAATGGGGGAGAGACAAGGAAGTGCCCTGCCCTAGCCCCTAGGGCCCACCCTCAAGGAGACTGTGGAATTACCCTCAAGGATCCTGGAACCTGGACTTGCTTAAGGTCACAGGATAAGTCTGAAGTGATGCCAAGACAGAACCCCAAGGTCTCGCCTGGTGGGCCAGTGGGTTCCCCATCCACTTCACTAAGGTGAGCGTCTCTTTCTGTGCCAGGCTGACTTGCCGTCCCTGGGAGAGGTAGTCATTCACACTTTAGAGTAAGAAAGGACCTCTAGTCTGGGTACTCCCCCACCTGTCAATGGGGTGTTACTACAGAGTAGTGGAACTCAACACCAGCCTTGGGGTGGTAGTTCCTGGTCTCATCCACTCCAGAGTTCACAGGGTCCCACTGGCCACCCCCAACCCTAAAAGGTCTCCTTCAAACAAGCTCAGATCTTGCTCTCTGTAGGAAGCTGCTTAACCTAAGTGCCTGGCTCATGCGTGTGGCCATGATGGTCCCTGCTGTTTACAAAGCAAGGGTTCTTGCCAGGTCCAGTGCCCCAAACTTTCCCAGAGTCATTCAACAGAATCCTCTCAACCACCCAGGAAGTATTATCCTCCCATTTCACAGATGAGGAAACAGAGCCCCAGACAGATTAACTCATGCATATGCACAAAATGATCCAGATGCAAGCAGCAGAGCAGGACTCAAACCAGGTAATCTAATTCTGGAGCCAAGAGCTGCCTGGGGTTGGCCTGCGGAAGCATTTTGTTTGGCTCACTCAGTCAACGTTTCAAAAGCCAGCGATTTTATAAAAACATCTAGATTTCTAGACTCTCTTGAAAAATCTGATGCACCAACTGAAAGAACTCCCTATCGCCAAAGCAAGGTCAGTACATGCAAGAAAATAAAGTAGTATTGGATTATAATCCAAGGTATAAAATTAATATCCACGAGTTCATACTGACATAAATAAATGAATAAATAAATGAAGAAGAGAGGAATTTCCCACAGAAGAATTCCAAATGTTTTTATGTAGATATTCTGCCCTCAGGAAATGGAGCATAAATCCTCATTCCTTCCAAAGAGTACAGAATAGAAAACCTGACAGACACTGTGTCAGCCACGTGATCAAGGTCAACATAATAGTGATAAGTTGTCCCGTTGACAGTATCTATCCTTGATATGTGGTGAGAATGACATTTTACCTCTGAGGTCGTCCCAAAAATCCATAACCCCAGTCTAACCATGAGAAAAACACTAGGCAAATCCCAGTTGAGGGACATTCCACAAAATCCCTGACCAATACTCATCAAAACTGTCAAGGTCATCAAAAGCAAGGAAAGTCTGAGAAATGGCCACAGCTCAGCAGAGCCTAAGGAGACATGACAGCTAAATGTAATGTGGGATTGTCTATGGGATCTTGGAACAGGAAAAGGACAAGGACAGTGGGGGAAAACTCAGGCAGTCTGAACAGAGTGTGAACATTAGCTAATGAGGATGTTACCAATGTTAGTTCCTCAGTGGTGACAAAAGCACAGTGCTTTTGTCATTGTCATTTGTCATCAATGCATTTGTCACCGTAGGATTATCCCACGGTGCCCTCAGGTGCCCTGAAAGGCTCACTGTGTGCTCCTGGGCCAGGAGTCCCTCTGTTAGAGAGGTCCCTGGTTACCCTGGGTGGGGGTGGGGAGAAGGAGCCACCTCCCAGGCCTCTCTGCCTTCTAGACATGGCAAGGTCCAGGGGACAGAAGCCTGGGTGTCCAGAGACCTGAGTATGAAGCTTGTCTCTGTCCCGAATTACTCTGTGGCCACGTGCAAATTCCCTTCCCTCCCAGTGCCAGGAACAGCAATAACCATTGTCTCCCTAGGGCCCTGGTCGGCCCTCAAGGATCTTCTCGGGGTGCTAGCAACTGCTCAGGCAACCCAGCTGTTGCTTCTCGTGTGAATTACTAGTCGTGAGGCCCCCAGAGCCTGTCCTCTGTGGGACTGAGTCATCCTGGGATCATTTGCCTGCTGGGGAATGGAAGATGCAGTTGTGGGGGTGGGGTACAACACCCTACCCAAGGTGCTGGGTCCCTGCCTTGGAGTAAGTGAGGCTCTGGCCAGGGATCCCTTTTCCTGTGCTAAGGGATGGGTTAGAGACACCCTCCCCGAATAAGCAGCTGGAAGCCATTGTTGGGGACCAGATGGAGGCAAGGACTAGATAGTTTGGAGGTCATGACCCCAGCTGCACCCCTCCCCTGGGTTTCCATTTCCCTATACCCAGGGGTGTAGAGGGGGTCTTTTCCCACTGCTAGCCCTGTTCTGGCCTGGGCACCTAGAGAAGGGGCTGATGCGAGAGGACACAGAAACAGTGGGCGAAAAGAATCCAGCCAAAGGAGAGAAGGGAGGAGGAGGAGCCCGGACTCAGTGAGGGAGGGGCCAGGGTGGCCGTGGGGGCCTCTGAGACAGCATGCGCATGTGGCTGGGAGCCCAGGCGCCAGGCTGAGCTGCTGCCCCCAGCTCGGGAGCCCCAGTGCCGGCTGGACGAGGGCGGGTGGGCACGGGCAGGGCTGCCTGCCAGACACACACACAGAGCGCTCTTTGAGGAGGTGGCAGCTGTCGGCCCAGACCCCCTCTGTTTGCTGGGGCCCTGCCTGCTCCCTCCAACAATGCCTTACCGAGCACTGGGGCTGGGGAAACTGAGGTGCATAACTGACAATGCCCATTCAAGGGGGCGGGCAACACTGCTTAGGTGGAACAGGAAAGGACCCCAGCTCATCAGTCCTAGAATTGGGACTTGGGCCTCATAGCAGGCCTCAATTCCTCCCCCCCGCTTCTTGCACATCTAGTACCCCTCTCATTGCTGGGGACCACTGTTAGGACTCTTCCCAGGAGCATCCTAGAGAAAGACCAAGGCAGCCCCACCTCTCGGGGAAGAAGGCTGGAAAGCCTCCTAAACCCCAGTGGATGACCTGCCAACGGGGGGTTTTGAGGCCTGGGGAGCTGGGGCCGGATCTAAGTCTCCGAGAAAGCTCACCTCACCCGTACTTCCTCCCCTCTGTTCAATGACCTTAGGACTCCTGGCACTGCACACCTGGCGGATGAAAGAACCTGTAGCCCTGGGCGCTTGCCCCTACAGATGTCTTAGAGGGCTGGAGCTCTGTCCCCCAGGTCCTGCCATGAACCACATTTGCTGCCAGCCAGCTTCATGGAGCCAGCTCTACCTTTCCTCCATGGAGGGGTGGGGGAGGGGGGGGCAGTGGTGCTGATCTCCCTGGACTGACCCAGCCCCGGAACCTTGGTCTAGGTGCTCACTCATCCTTACTGGGTGGTAGCAGCCCTTTCTCTGGGAAACAGAGGGAAGAGGGACAGGCTGTATATGATGAGTGGCAGACCAGAGTGGTCAGACTCCTGGTTCTGCCTTCTGGTTGCTGAGGGATTTCAGAGCCTCAGTTTATTAAATGTAACAAGAGAAGAGCAAGGCCCACCTGGCAGGGGGTGGGAAATTAGGGCGCACAGGTATGGGCCCGCTATCTGTGGACACCATGGCAGATGTGGAACAGCTGAAGAAATTGGGGATGTTTAACCTTGGGGAAGAAAGGCTGGGGCCGCGAAGGCCCGTCTTCCAGCGTCTAAGGGCTGGCCCTTGGCTCTGGGTGGCCTGGCTGTGGGTGGCCCTTGAGTGGGGGTTACAGGGAGGCAGGATCCTCCCTAAAAGCCAGTCCAGCTCTACCTGTCAGCTCTATTTGTCGGATGACCCGACAATGCGCTAGGCTGTTCCCAGGCAGTCGGAAGCTCCCCACCACCGAGGGAGGGGCCGCGGGGGAGGGCAGAGCGGGCGGAGGAGGTCTGGGTAGCGTAGCGTGGGGGTGCCCGGGTCTCTGGGCTTTCAGCGGGAGGAGCGGGGAGGGTTTCTAGGAGCCCTGCGAGACTGACCTGCAATCGCCTTCAGACACAGGGACTGGGAGCCCCGCCAGACCACAGGGCAGGCGCCCAGCATCGTGGGCTTGGGCAACGTGGGGGGTGGGGGCTCTGGTCTCCAGAACCCGGTGGGAGAACAGGAGATGGTGCGACTCGAGGTGGCCCTTGAAGGTTGGGTAAAGGGTGGAGACCGAGCCTCCTCGCCGCGTTGGGCCGACAGAAAAATGCCGTGGTCCGGGGTCCTCGCCTTTAACGCAGCCCCCGGGGAGGAGACGGGAGGGGGAGGGGCGGCGCGGCGCATGCGCGGCGCGGGCTGGAGCCGCCGGACAGTCCGGCCGCCGGGAGCGCGCAGGAGCCGGCGGGGAACCCCGAGAGCGCCGGGACCCCGCGCGGGGGGCTCTGAGCGGCGCGGCGGACCGGAGCCCCCAGCCTGCCGGCGCCGCTGCCCGCCCGGGGCCCGGGAGCGGAGGCCAAGATGTCCGTGCCGGTGAGTACCGCCCGCCGGCCGGGACCCCGGGTCTGCCGCCCCCGGCCGGGCCTGAGACCTCGCGCCGCCCGCTGCAGGCCTAATGCCGTGGGGGGCTCCGGGCTGGGGGCGGAGGTCACCCCACCTGGGCCTTCCCGGGCTGGGCATGAATGGGGTTTAGCGTGGGGGCGGCTTCTCTGCCCCTGCCTTTCTGTGCACCCTCTCACAGGAGCCGGCTCGGCCTGGGTTCCGTGCTGTCCCCTCCGGGACCCCCCTAGGACGGGAGGCTTGGCAGGGGCCTTTGTTGGCCCCGGGAAACCCCTGGGACGGCCGGGCCAGGCCAGAGTCCGTGCTGTCCCGCGGAACCCCCTCCCCCCACCGGGATGGCCAGGCCTAGTGGGGAGAGGTCTGTGTCGCTCGCCGGGAGGCCCCCTCCAGGATGGCTGGGCCGGGTGAAGGGGGTAGGTCTGTGCTGCCCCCAGGAAACCACCTGGGGTATCTGCCCCGTTGTGCTCCAGGGACGTCCCCGCGATGGCCAGGCCTGGGGCCGGGGGTGTGTCTCTCCCGGGACAGCCCACCCCCAGGACGGCCTGGCGGAGTGCGGATCTGTGCCAAGCCCCAGGAAGGCTGATGCGCTCACTTTCCCGGGAAGTTTTCCTCTGGGTGCCGGACCGGCCCTTTCCTCCCTCCTAGCCATGGGGGCTTCTCTTCTCGCCTGTCACCACCTCCTCCTGGCCCAGCCAGGCAGGCTTAGCCAGCTCCCAGGCCATCATGGCTCCACACTTAGGCCTGCATCTGGAGGCATCGGGGCGCCTCCTAAGGGTGGCAGGTGATCCTGGCCACCCCCAGTCACCAGGCCTCAGGTGCAGGCCCCAGCCCTCTTTACAGATGGACAGACTGAGGTAGGTGCCCACATCCTGCGTCCTACCCGGAAGGGGCGCCATCGAAGGCTGGGCCATCTGTGGCTTTCAGCCATTGTTTCTCTGCTGACTTAGGGTCTTTTCCCTCTGACAGGAAGGGGCAGTGGGCCGGAGTGCCTGCCCACCTGACCGCCTTCCTGGGACTGCGCCTCACTCCTAGCCCCATTCTTAGGGTGAAGCAGACAGTGGGGGCTTCCTGGCAGAGCAATGGTCTCTTAATGAACCACCGTGGAGTGTGTGGAGATTACAGAAGGTGCTGTGTTAAGTGCAGAGCGTTGTTATTATGGAATCAGAGACCTCAGCTCCTGCCGCCTCCAGAGCGGTAATGCAGAGTTACAGATGAAAAAAGTACGGCTTCCAGACTATGCTGAGGTGAACTCCACCCCCCCCCCCCCCACCGCTCACCCCCACCTGCGTGTTCGGGTTCAGAGCATAACTGCCTCATCTTTAGAAAGATAGAAAGAAGACAGAAAATGCCTGTCTTCTCTCCTGCTCTGCTGTCCTGCAAAGCTCTGGATCTTTTCTGGCCCAGGGCATCAAGGGACCTGCCCTGACCCTGTGGGCCCTGGCTGGAGGGGAAGTGGACCATCTGAGCCTGCTTGAGGGCCTGGGGCTTTAGGGCAGTAGTGAATGGGGAATGTGACTCAGGCCACATCACAAGTTGGGTGGGTCTCAGTTTGCGAGGTCTGGGCTTGATTTGGTGTGGTTGTCCACAGTCACAGCAGAGGTCTGGACCTAGAGTTAGGGTGGCAGCCAGACCTCTTGTCTTACAGGACTTTGGGCAGCCTTCCTGGGCTCTGTACCTCAGTGGTCCCGACTGTAAGGAGAGAGGTATGGCAGGGGGGTGGGTCTGACTTAGGCACTGCTGTGGACGCCTGTGTAAAGACCTGGAGCCGTGGTCTGCACGGTGGGTCCCCTCCACTGCTATAGCTCCAAGTCACTCCCCACACTCCGGCCTACAGCCGCGGCCCTCGGGGGTTCTGCTGGGGGTGGACAGAGGCCTCACCATCTGCCCCTGGTGGCTGGGCTGTCAGAGTACCCCAGCTCTCTCCTGGGACCTTGGGCAGTATATGAGCTGATGGGGCTGGGAGGAGAGGTTCATTTTTGGAGCTGCTGTGAAATGTTCTGAAAATTGCTTTCCTGTGCTTGTGAGTGGTGAGGCCCCTCGGAGGCTTCCAGGCCGAGCTGCCTCCTTAAGCCCTGCTCTTGGAACCCAGAGTGGTGACTGCCCATGTGGTGCTCACGGATGTGTTTCGGTTTTAAGCATACCCGTTCATTTGGGCAATCTTTTCCTGGATGGGGCTGACGCAGGCACTTTGGCCCATAGAAATTACAAGATGCTTCCAAATGGAATGGGAGGTGGTGGCAGGGAGAGAAGAGGTTGTGATGGGCCAGGTTGAGCTAGAGTGGGGTCCTTTGCGGGGATTAGCTGATCTCACTCAGGTATTTGACCCTCATGGGCTCTGGGGCCCAGAGAGTCATCCCGAGGCTCTGCTCAGTTGCTCCTTCTTCTTGCCTGAGCTGAGGGAGGTGCTCACATAGCACCTGGAGATTTACTTCCTGGCCGTTCCCTGACATTGGCCTTCTTCTTGGGCATGGCCTTCTGGCACCCCAGGCCTGTCTCTTCCCTCCAGTCAGGCAGGGAGCATTTGAAAGGAAACCCGCCGTGCCACCCCCCTGAGGCCCCTGGTGGGCATTGGCATGATTCATGTTTAGGAGCGGCAAGATGCGCTGTCAGGCAGGAGGCCAGCTTCCAGCTTGTGGAGAAGTCCCCTGATGTCTGTTCCTGCCACTCGTTTCCTGTCTGTGAAATGGACCCTACCCTGCTAGCCTCTCTGCTCCTTTTTATTTATTCATTTTAATTTAATTAATTTTTTATTTTCCTTTTTAAAATTATTACTATCTTTTCCTCTGCTCCTTTACTGATTGACGGTGGGTCCTTTCAAGGAGTGAAGGCGCTGATGTGTGTGCTAGGAGCTGGGCTCTGGGCTTCACAGGCTCGCGGAGGACCTGTGTCTTGCCAGGTTGCATGGCCACTGAGAGACGAAGTCGGGGCGGGAGCCCGGTCTGGCAGGATGCAGAGCCGGAAAGTGAGCGTCATCCTGCATGGCCTCTCTAATTGTGGGGGCTGCAGCCTGTTGAGCTGTCCACAGAGGCCAAGGCTGCTGAGAGCCTGACCCTCTGCTTGTGGCTTTTCAAGTATGAGTTTGTGTAACCCCTTCGGTACCCTGGGGAGATAAGGCAGCTGGGACTCGGAGAGGCCAGGCAGCTTGCGCCGGCTCTGCGGCAGGGTGGGTCTAGCCCCGTGAGGCCCCAGCCGTGGTTGGTGGAGATCAGTGGACCAGGTGTGGCACCTGGTTGCACCTCCACCAGCGATCCCAGGAACCAGGGGTGGCTGGTTCTATGCCAGTCGGCGCTGTGATGGGACAGCTGGCCAGGAAGCCAGGAGGCTCTAGGCCCTGGGCTCACTGCTGGGCTCACCGCTCCAGGCTGTGGACGGCTGAGGCCCGATGTAACGGGCTCAGAAGAAGACAGTGGGGAGAGGCAAGGTCCTAGTCCAAAGTCCTCTGCTCGGGCTCCAAAGCACCTGGCTTGCCCCTCCTCCCACCTGGCCTTGGCTCTGCCTGGCCCTCCCTCTGCAGGAAGTGATCTCCGGCCACTGCCTTGCTCACCAGGTCACTCCTGCTCACCCGTGCTCACCTTCAAGTGCTCAGGCAGAGGGCACCATTCTGCACAGCCCTCGGGGGCTCGCATCTGTGATTGTGTGTTTATTGCTGGGGTTATTTGGTTGCTGTCAGGCTCCCTCACCAGGCCGCAGGCTTCCTCGGGGTAGGTCTCAGGCCTGCTTGGCTCCTGTCTGCCTCATTGCCCTAGCTTGCCCAGGCTGCCTGCTGAGTATGTGGCACGGGGAGTGCAGAGGAACCCCCGCGGACAGACAGCCGGGTCCCCATGCAGAGAGCCTGGCATCTCAGCTGCTGTCCTGGAAGCCTGGTTGGAGGCTGAGTGGGGCTTCCCAGAGAGGCTGCTTCAGGATGGGGAGGACTTTTGGTGAGTTGAGAGCAAGGGCTCTAGAATGAATCATGCTGGCTAGTCTACACCTTGAGCTGTTACTGAATCTCTCTGAGCCTGTCTCCCCATCTGTATTACAGGGAGGTTAACAGCACTAACTTGTGGAGTTTTGTGAGAACTTGGCAAGGGTTGCAGAATGCTCTTAGTAAGAGGCTAATAAGTCATAGCAGCTCCTTTGGTTGAGGTTATGATCTTTATCCTGCAGCACTGGCTGGTGCAGTGGCCGAGACCCACTCCTGACTTGGGGCGGGGTGATCAGCTCTCCGTGGCCTGCCCAATCTTCCCCCAGTGGCCCTTTCTTGATGGTTAGTGTGTTTCCCGCTAAGGCCTTAGCATAGGATGACCCTAGACCCTCGCCTGCCCCACCTTGCCAACAGGACCCCTGCCTCTTGAGCTTTGGATGGGCAGGTACTTGTCCTCACCCCACCGACATACAGTGGCCTCCATTAGGGCCACCAGCTGGCCCACCGTGCTCCAGGCCAGGTGGACATGCCCTGCACTGAGTGCCCCCAGGAGTGGGTACAGAATTGCAGGCAGTGGAAGCCCTGGGGCCCTGCAGTCTGTCCTCAGGTATGATCTGCAGCAGCCTGCTCAGTAAGGGAATAGCCCGTCTACAAGAAGGAGGCACTTTTAGGGGGTGCTCAAGCCCGTGAGTGAGGCAAGTGGGCCACAAAGGCAGCACCCACTGAGCCCCC